GCGCCAACACTGGAAGTTTTTAAGAAGAGACTGGACAGCCATTTGTCTGAAATGGTATAGGGTTTCCTGCCTGAGCAGGGGGTTGGACTAGATGACCTCCAAGGTCCCTTCCAACTTTATTATTATTATTATTATTATTATTATTATTATTATTATTATTATTATTATTATTATTATTATTATTATTATTATTATTATTGACACCGAGACCGGAGTGTTCATAGATCACTCCCCATCCGCAGCTCGTGATATCAAAGCTCTCCTTGGTCAGACACACAGGTAGTCTTCGAATTACAACCGTCCATTTAGTGACCGTTCAGCGTTGCAACGGCACTTATGATTGCTTTTCACCCTCGTGACCGTTGCAGCGTCCTCCTGGTCATGTGATCAAAATTCAGACCCTTGGCAACTGACATGTACTTATGACGGTTGCACTGTCCCCGGGGGAGTCACGTGATCCCCTTTTGCGTCCTTCTGCCAAGCAAAGTCAATGGGGGGCGAAGCCAGATTCACTTAACGACGGTGTGAGTAACTTAACAACCGCAGTGATTCGACTAACCAATATGGCCAGGAAGGTTGCGCAATGGGGCAAAACTGACTTGACTATTTCACACAATTTTTGGTTCAATTGTGGCCGTCAAGTCAAGGACGACCTGTGTGATGGACTGCAGACCAAAGAACGAGCCACACCTTAGTGCAAAAAGTGCACAGTGGAAAGTTAGAACGGGATGCTTGAGTGCACAACTGCGTCTCTTGATGCCTTCTCCCAACGCCCAACATGTTGCGTGTCCATTTCAGTTCTTCTAGGTCAGGGGTCCCCAACCCTTGTCCGTGGACCGGTACCGGGCCACAGCATGCCAGCAACCGGTCCACACAGACAAGAAAAGCCCCATCCATGAGATGCAGGCAGCACATAAAACCACGCACTCTGCTCCGCGGAAAAACCTTTCTCCATGGAACCGGTCCCTGGTGCCCCAAAGATTGGGGACCTCTGTTCTAGGTCCCTTCAGGACATGCCCATGAACCGTGAGACAGACAGGTCCCCCTTATTAAGGCTTCTCCACTGGGAGGTCATTCCTGTCTGTGAGAACTTTATACCAACATATAACTCCAGAACATCTGCAAGCCATCAATCTGGATACTACATAGCCCATCTGAAATCACAGGGAATGCGTCGTTCCAGCTCTTACTTTGGGCCTGTGGCCGACTAAAATGAGAACGTGAAGCCCAGAGGCCACGTACCCGGCCTCCGTAGAGAATCGAAGGCGGCTGTAACACTCTCCCCGTGACATCTGTCATTTCGTCTTTGACCATGATTCCAAACTCACGAACGAAAGGGTCGGTATTAAAACTTGCGCTTCTCATCTAGGAGGGAAAAACAAAAAAAATCTTTTCAGACAAACATGCATCTAAAATAAATGGATTAGTTGCAATGGGAAATCAATTCTGAACTCCTCTAAGTTTTTAAACCTGAAGAGAGATAGCAGCCTACGCAGCCTGCATCCAGTTCTGGTCACCACAATATGAAAAAGAGGTTGAGACTCTAGAAAGAGTGCAGAGAAGAGCAACAAAGATGATCAGGGGACTGGAGGCTAAAACATATGAAGAACGGTTGCAAGAACTGGGTACGTCTAGACCAGAAGTAGGCAACCTTGGCTCTTTTATGACTCGTGGACTTCAACTCCCAGAATTCCTGAGCCAGCCATGCTGAGGGGAAAGGGAGAGATTTCCATGCTGAGCCATGCTGGCTCAGGAATTCTGGGAGTTGAAGTCCACGAGTCATAAAAGAGCCAAGGTTGCCTACCTCTGGTCTAGTCTAATGAAAAGAAGGACGAGGAGTGATATGATAGCAGCCTTCCAATACCTGAGGGGCTCCTACAAAGATGGGGGGGGGGGTCAATGAAAGCAAGACAAGAAGCAACAGATGAAAACTAACCAAGGAGAGAAGCAACGAAGGAAAAAAATTCCTAACAGTGAGAACAATTAACCAGTGGAACAGCTGGCCTCCAGAGGTTGTGGGTGCTTCATCACTGGAGGTTTGTAAGAAGAGACTGGACCAACATTTGTCTGAAATGGTATAGGGTCTCCTGCCCGAGCAGGGGGCTGGACTGGATGACCTCCAAGGTCCCTTCCAGCTCTTGTTATTCTGTGTTTCTATGTTCTATGCCTGCAATAACAGTGGTGGTTTTTCTCTATTCTTTTCCTCAAATCTTCCGCCTCCAATACTATGATTTTTTCTCTCTCTCTCTTACTCCTGGAGAAATATTTTCTATAAAAAACTGACCGCTGGGAGTGGAACTCTGGGAAGACATTCCGTGACGTTCCTTCAGACGCGGAACATACACCCGTGCCCGTAGGTCTCCTTCCTACTGTTCCAATGAGAGAGAGAGAAGGGAGCCACTGCAGGGAGTAGAGGGGGTGGCCTTGAGGGACAGAGGGAAGCTCCACTGCCAAGGCAACGAGCAGATAAACAAGATTTGAACCCAGGCCAAGAAAGTTGTTTACAAAAACATCTCAACAGTCCCCAGCCCTTAATCCTCCGGAGGAGAAAAGAGGGAAGAAGGAAGAACGGTCAGACTTGCAAAGTTCTGCTCCTAGAGCTCTTCTGATCAAAGCAGCTTCGGGGTCTACACAGTTATCTGGTTTTCCAAGTCTGGTCTACCTTGCAGGGTTGACGCTCACCAATTTGCTGATCTCCTCCT